GTGATCCACCCGCCTCGGCCTCCCAAAGTGCTGGGATTACAGGCGTGAGCCACCGCGCCCGGCCCAACATAGTAATATTATTTGATGGATTCTACTTTGGGGACACTATCCTAAGAATGTAATTTAATAACTGAAAAGAAAGCCTGATAACGTGGTAATATTATTTATTATAGTGAGTAATCAATTTCAGTAAAATATGATCTATCGGCTTGGTGCAGTTTAACATTATTAATGTAGAGACTTCGGCTACATGGAAAAATACTTATATTAGTATGTTGAACAAAACACTAAAAAAGGAATACAAAATTATATGGACTGATGGTTACAGGAGTATATGAAATTTTCACACAGTTGCTAGGACATAACTCGTTTGTCTTTAGTGTCTTTTTGACATTGTCAAAAAAACATCTGACACTACTTTTTTTTAAAAATGTGGTTTAAAGGCCCGACACAGTAGCTCACACCTATAATCCCCAGCACTTTGGGAGGCCGAGGCAGATAGATATGAGGTCAGGCGTTAGAGACCAGCCTGGCCAATATAGTGAAACCCCGTCTCCACTACAAATACAAAAATTAGCCAGGCGTGCTGGCAGCCGCCTGTAATCCCAGCTACTCTGGAGGCTGAGGCAGAGAATTGCTTGAACCTGGGAGGCAGAGGTTGCAGTGAGCTGAGATTGCGCTACCACACTCCAGCCTGGGCGACAGTGCAAGACTCTGTCTCAGAAAAAAAAATGTGGCTTAAAAAACTGTCAAGTAGGCCAGGCGAGGTGGCTCGTGCCTGTAATCCCAGCACTTTGGGAGGCCGAGGCAAGTGGATCACGAGGTTAGGAGTACAAGACCAGCCTGGCCAAGATAGTGAAACCCCATCTCTACTAAAATTATAAAAATTAGCCAGGCGTGGTGGCAGGCACATGTAATCCCGACTACTCGGGAAGCTGAGGCAGGGAATTGCTTGAACCCGGGAGGTGGAGGATGCAATGAGCTGAGATCATGCCACTGCACTCTAGCCTGGGCAACAGAGCGAGACTGCATCTCAAAAAAAAATAATAAGCAAAACAGAGAATCTATTTCTGTGCCTGATTCTCATTGCCAGTTGCCACCGTCTGATTTCAGGGTGGGTGTGAGGGAGGGAGGGGCAGTGAGGGGTGAGGCAGGGCTCGGAGATGGTCTAAGGAGTCATTTGTATCTCCTGTGGGTTTCTTCTCTCAAATTCTTGAGCTTCTCTTTATAGGCCCTCAGTAGGGAAGTGGGGAGGGTTATGTGGGCATTAGTATGAACTCTTACTCTTGACTCTAGCACTGTTAGGGACATCCTCAATGAAATCCCTGACAATTTCTTCAGAAATACATACCTTACATTAACGTTCTGATAACACTCCTTTATAATGATTATTTTGGGGAAAGAATAATTCTTTAGAAGCTAACCCAGCAGGCTATAAACAAATCATTGCTCTTTAAAAAGTATAATAGCAATGCATCCTCATGTCCCCAGAAATGAGAGAGGATCTGGGATGTCTGTGGTCTGTTACGTATATTACTTGATAATAAAAACAGTGATCTTAGGCTGGGTGCCGTGGCTTATGCCTGTAATCCCAGCACTTTGGGAGGCCGAGGCGGGAGGATCAACTGAGGTCTGGAGTTCGAGACCAGCCTGATCAACATGGAGAAACCCTGTGTCTACTAAAAAAAAATACAAAATTAGCCATGCATGCTGGTGCAAGCCTGTAACCCTATAATCCCAGCTACTCAGGAGACTGAGGCAGGAGAATCACTTGAACCCAGCAGGTGGAGGTTGCAGTGAGCTAAGATCGCACCATTGCACTCCAGCCGGGGCAACAGGAGCAAAACTCCGTCTCTAAAAAAACAAAACAAAAAACAGTCATCTTTACTTTGGCTTACAAAAGGCTCATGCTTCGACAGTGCAGCAAAATGTTCTGACCAAAATGACTGTGTCGCAAGGGTCCAGCCTGGGAATACAGCTATGAAACATGCACAAGGAATAGAAACATGGGATGAAAATAGCGGTTGTATTTGGAAGGTAGAATTATAATGCTCCCCTTTTCTGTGTTCCTAAATTGTCCATATGTGGTTTGTTTTTTTTTTTAATAATGAAAGTCCAATATAACAAATACTTACCGGACACTGTCTGCGTGCCAGACACCATGCTCGATGCTGGAGATAACAGTGACCCACACAGGCACAGTCACCGCCTGGCGGAACTTCAGTGGGAGAGGCCGAAAATTTTGCCAGTCATTGTGACACCGTGTGACAGACTCACACTAGAGGAGTTCAGAGGGCGGCTGGTTGTGTTGGAGCGGTGCCTAACCCAAAAGGGTTGGGAGGAGGTACCAGGAAAGGCTTCCTGGAGGAAGAGGTTTCTAAGCTGGCACCTGAGGGCTATGTAACTGAAGACTGGAGTAGGGAGTGTTCTAAGCAAAAGAAGCTGCGTTTGGCAAAGCTTGGGGGAACTGAAAGTTTGGTGACATTGGAGCATAGATTGAGCACGAGACGGGAGTGGGGAGAGATGAGGCTGGAGTGTGAAGCCGGAAGCAGATCACAGAGGCCTTTACTTTCTTATTAAGGAATTTGGATTTTGTCCTAAGGCGGTATAAAGCTGTTGGAAGCATATTCATTTATTTGCTTGCCCGCTTGCTCACGTATTCTTC